AAAAAAAAAAAAGTTTCAATTGTTAGGTGTAATGTTCTATATGTGTACATTAGATCAAGCTTTGTTAATTGATGTTAAAATTGTTTATCTTCTGATGCATATTTTCCTTGATTTATCAATTACTGAGAGAGGTATATAAAATCTCTCAGTATGGTAGTGCATTTGGCAATTTCTCCTTATGATTCTGTCATAAGGAGAAATTGGTTTAGATATTTTAATATCTTTGGTTTAGATATTTTAAGACAACATTGTCAGGAGCACAGAAGTTTAAAATTTTTGTGTTTTATTGGTGAATAGAAACTTCTATCATTACTTAGCAACTGTCTTTACCTCTATCAATTCTTTTGGTCTAGTTTGCTTTTTTTTTTGGCAGCAGCTTGCTGGTATGGGGATCTGCAACCTTGATGGTGTTATCAACACTGTACTTTAACCAAATGAGTTAGCTGGCCAGCTCTACTGGTTTTCTTTTGGTGTCTTATATGCACAGTATATCTTTTTTTATTTGCTTACCTTCAATTTTTCTGTACTTAGATGTCTCTGATAAACAACAGAGCTGAATCTTAGATTATTTTACCTCAATCCAACAATTTCTACCTTTCACTAGACAGTTAAATCCATATACACATTTTTATGATTGTTGGTGTATTTAGATTTGTTGTTACTAAATTATTTTACAGTACTTTTTTCACTTCTTCACATCCTTTCTACTCTTGATATTCTTCTTTTGGAATCAGGTTTTTTTTTCTGCTTTTCCTTTTTTTCATTCAATGTTTCCCCCTTACTAGTTTGAAAGTTTGAATCCCTATGTCTATACTTTTGGTGATTATCTTAGCTACTTTATTTTATTTTATTTTTTTTTTAAATGAAAGAGTTCTTTTATTTATTTATTTATTTATTTTTTGTCTTTTTGTCTTTTTCCGTGTCCGGCAACGGATCGCAACCCTCAGTGTCGCCCCCGCACCGGACCAGGACCGGCAACGAGATCACAACCCCCGGCGCCGCCCCCGCACCTCGCTCAGCCAGTGAGCGGGAACCGGTCCATATGTGGGATCCGAACCCTCGGCGGGAGCGCCTCCCCGCTTCCCAAACGGTGCACTAGCGCAGTGCGCCACCGGGCCGGCCCTATCTTAGCTACTTTAACATTCATAACAAAGTATAAAATAATCAACATTTTTAGCCTCTTCTAGAAAAACAATAATGACTTTAGAACACTCTCACGTTATCACTCCTTCTCTTCTTAAATCCATGGTTAACCAGTATTTCGGTTCTAGCTGGTCTTTTTTGGGAGGTGTAACTGGCCAGTATGAGGATCTGAATCTAGCTGGTCTTTTTAAAAAAAACCTCAAACCTACATATTAGACATAATGATTTAAAAAAAAAAAAAATCAACGACCCAATCTTCTTGTGGCCTAGTGGTTCTACTGGATTTCCAGGCTTGGCCTGGAAATTATGGGCTGACCTTCTCACACCATCATTGAGACCCTAACTCTGATACTTTACATGGACTATTAGCCCCGCTAGCTGAATGCATGCTAACTCTAAAATAATCTATAAAACAGATATCTGGCTAACTGCCTTATTCTTATTTTATGCTTCTATTTAAATGCCACTACATAAGCATTTTTGCTTTTATATTATCCTAAGATTTTAATGTACTTCCTGTTGTTTGTTATTAGTGGCCCATTAACCAGGGCTTGGAAGTTTTGTTTTTATTTTCCTATTTGATTTCCCCCTATATAACTATTGTTATACTGAATCCTTTATTTTCAGTAATTGAATATAAATTTTCATAAATATACCTATTCATCAATCATATATTTACTAAACATCAAGTACTATAAGGTACAAAACCAAACAAGACATAGTTTCTACCCAGTCTGATTTGGGAAAAAAATATCAAAACAGGAAATACCATATAATATGATGAAAATTACAAGAAGAGAGCATAGAAGAAATACACCTAATGAAGGAGGTGATCCAGCAAATAAAGCTTCACGAAGAAATTAGTTAAAACTGCTACGGTTTAAAATCTTGGCCACTGTGATCAATTTTTCTCCATCAGCTTAATTTAATCCCTTCCATATATTTACATCTGGGCCAAATTTTTACATAGCATAACATTCCTATGTTATGAGAAGATTTATAATGTCTTTATCCAGCCCTAAACACTGACAAAAATGATGACACTCCCACAAGACAGCATGGGGTCCTACTGTCAAAGAGATAGCTCTTTAGCATAGAGGAATTCTGCCTTCAAGACCTGCTCTGCAACCTTTTGTTAGAAATTAAAAACATTTCAGTTCAGGCAACCAAATCAATATTTTTAGGAATTACCTAAGATCCCTAATGATAAAAGTAGGTCAGAAGAAGTCAAAAGTTCCTCCAAACTTATATACACTTACATGCTCAATTAAATACATTTGTGTAAGAGATCATGTCTTGTAAGTCAAAGATTGACAGACATGGTAAGACACAGTCTCAAGTCTCTGGACACTGGTTTACTTTTTTTTTTTTTCCTTTTTGTCTTTTTTACTGACCGGTAACGGGATCGCAACCCTCGGTGTCGCGCCCGTACCGGGGACCGGCAACAGAATCGCAACCCTCGGTGTGGTGCCTGCACCCCGCTCAGCCAGTGAGCGGGAACCGGTCTCCACATGGGACCCGAACCCTCGGCGGGAGCGCTGCCACACTCCCAAGCGGCGCACTCTCCAGTGCGCCACCGGGCCGGCCCAACACTGGTTTACTTTTGAAACAATTAAGACATGGGGAAAAACATTTCCAGAGGCCTTTTCCTAATATAATGCTAAGATAATAGAAGTATTTATGCCAAAGTACCAAAAAAAATGTATGACTGCAAATGAGACTTTTATGTATTTTGTTCTCATGTCCCAATGACTTCTTAGATTCGAACCTCTTTTGCTTACCATATAGAGTCAGTAAAAAGACCTAAAATTAGGTTTTGAAGGAAAAAAAAGTCAAAGAAACCATCACACTTAAAGCTTTCCATTTCAAAAAAGAAAACAAAGAATAGTAAATAGGTTCCCAGGAAGATCTGATTTCAGCTTTGGCAGTGCCAATCACAAACAAATGTCAGATTCAAGATCGTATATGTGGCAGAAAAATGAAGATTTGAAAGTTAGAATTGAGGGCGTATTCCAAGCATTTACCGTTCTCATTGGCTTTCAAATACCTAATAATTAACATCTTTTACGTACTACACATAAAAGCTTAAGAGGTTACACCATATTGCTTTCTCTCTAGTGACATTGTGGAATGAACACCTTCCCCTTACTTAACATTTGTGGATATTGTGCAAGGCAAAATGGCACTGTACAGAGAGGCAATTCAGGAGAAATAGTATTCAAATGAAAAACAGGAGACAGATTCAAATTGTGACTCTGCTTACTAATGAGCAAGATTACCCTAAGAAAGCCTCTGGAGTGTAGTTTACTTTTGAAACAACTAAGAGCTTGGGAAAAAGAATCCCTGAGAACTCTTCCTACTATAATGCTATAATAATAAAAGTATTAATGCCAAACATAAATGATGACCGAAAATGAGATAACCAGATACTCACTTGGACACATTGCCCACTACTATTGTTTTCTTTACAAAAAGACGTGAAGTCTCATCTCCTGCAAGATCAGCATTCCGCTGCTCTGTTTTATGGGAGCCAGTAACACTAGAAGTGTTCTGAAAGAAATCATAATCAATACTCATTTTCATTTTGAATGATTTTCAATAGGACAGAAATCACAAAATTATAAAAGGTATGAATGGAATAACTAAGAATTTTTTTTAATTACAAAATTCTCTGGCTTTGTGACACCTCTCAAAACATGAAAAATAATTTACTACAAAAATTGCATTAATTTATATAAAAAGTATAATTTTTATAATTTGTATAATTCCGTGTTTTTTAAAGTCATATACATCTACTTTGCGTATGTAAATACGATGTGTAAGGATGCACAAGAAACTATTATAATGGTTACCTCTGGCAAATGGGAAAGGAGAAAGGGGTCAATGGAATTTACTTTCTTTTCAACCTTCTGTAGGACTCAAAAATTTTTAATGAGATGTAATAATATAAATGCAATGGTTAATTAAAAGTTTGACTACAGAGAAAGACTGCCAGGCTTCAAATCCTGGCTCTTCCATTTACTAATGTGTAATCTTGGGTAATTACTTAACTTCTCTGTTTTAATCTCCTCATCTATAAAATAAGGATAATAGTGCTTACCTCACATGATTGTTTTATAGAGTTCTTAGAAAAGTGCCTAGTACACAGAAAGTGCTAAATGTTTGTAATATAAATACACACATAAATGACCATGTATTATATAAAAGATGTTATTAACTTTCTAAATCCCATGACTAGTATGACCTAATTTTTTTAATTAAAAAGAAAAACATATGTAATATTTGCCCAGAAATAATACTGGAAACATTAAAAGCTGTGATTTTTGCAGAGCAGCATTATGAATGACTTTTCTATTCTTTTTTACTCTTCTGTGTTTTACAATTTTCAACAATGAACACATAAGAATTTACAATCAGGAAAATAAATAAAAATTTATTTTTATCAAAAATAAATCCTTGATGTCCAAGTATGTGGAAAGCGACCTGAAATTTTCTATCACAGAACACATAGCTGAGAAAAACAATCAGTCTAATCCAATAATGACTCTACAGCCAAATATTATATAACCAGTTGGCAGGATCAAGAGCAATAGATAGTTTTCAGTTCTATTTATTATTTGTCACATTTCCTTCACCTACTAAAGCATCTTAGAATACAAAATTTCACATAGGAAACTGCTTAAGAGCCATTGCTCTTGAGAGAATAAACATGACAGAGTGGAAAGACCTTGGGATAGGTCATCACAGAATTGCCAACTCCCAAAGGTTTCTTTCATATCTAAGTGAATGGCATCCAGGAACTGTGCTATACATAGGAGCCCTAAGCTCTAAAATTAGAAAGACTTAAGTTTAATTCTCAGTTCTGATACTTTCAGGCAAATATAACTTCAACCTCATCAAGACTGTTTCCCCATTTTAAAAGGAAAGCAACCTATTTCCGAGAGTTCCTGTGAAAGTCAAATGAAATAATACATGCACACTTAATACACTAGTTCCTTTCTCCTTTAGCTCCCTCCCATCCATCCTACTGTACCCTTCCAGTATTTCGGCTTGGTCTCTGTTCCATGTTGTTTGAGAGTCTTTCCTCTATGTCCATATTACTGCTATTATCTTTGTCAGATAAGAAGTCATTGTGTTGAGATAAAGAGTCACTTTCTGAATGATTGGCTGATGGTGTTTCTGATCTTTGATTGGCAGGAGATGATGACCTAGACGGTGATTCCAAAAACTTCTTGATAGCAGGATGATTAAAAACCATTGTATCACATGTCTTTGATCCCTACAAAACATGAAAGCAAAGCAAGTGAACAAACTTTTAATCAAATCTACCATAGGAGGCAAAAATTTGACCTCTCCAAAACCCTTATCTATTACAGGGTCATGCTTAAAATCCTTTGAAATATCCCCACACCCATAAAATAAAGTCCATACTCCTTAACCCACAAAACAAAAACTAGAATGATAAATAATTATGCAAAGGTTCTAACATTAAAAGCTAGAGATCTTCTGAAGGTAAATGAGAAATAAAGATAAATATATAGTAACGTATGGAACATAAACATTTTTTAATCTTTTTTTTCCTTAATTTTAACGTTTACTTGTACATAATTGTGGGGTACAATGTGTTGTTTCAATATGCATATACTGCACAATGATTCACTTAGGGTAGAGAGCATAGTTTTGTACCCATTAGTCCACCTCTTCTCCACCTTCCGCCCACCCCAAAAATAAGATTTGACTTTAAAAAATTAAGTTTCATATTGCTTTACATAAACACATTAATGGCCCTAGATAAAATACCCCTGTAAGAAATACAAAAATTTTAAAAAGCATATACATAAGATGGACCACACATAGGAGTAAAACGTAATACAGAATGTTTTAAAATGATCAATACCAATGTAGTTTGCCTTCAGTCCAATAAAGAAGCCTAGGGTATTTTTCTATATCTTAGTTACCTGCATACATAATACAGCATGTTCTGTTATAGTGTGATATGCTGTAGGAAGCCTAGCTTTCAAAAACTGTGTTATTAAAATAATTGTTTTAGTGAGAAAAAAGGAGCCAGAGACTAGTGCTTTAGAGTTAAAGCAACAAAGTTGTTGAATTTCAATAACAAAGGTTTTTCAGAGGTATAAATGTGTTTTGTTACTGTAAACTAAAAATAACTGAATGACTGATCACAATAGACAAAAACCTGCCTAAATATCTTTGAATAAATACTAATCAGAAAATAACAGGATAAAATCAGTACATTTCTAGACCATCAAATAGCACAGATCAGAACTGCTAATGGTTTTTTAAAAAAAAAAAGAAAAAGGCAACAAAATATTAAATGAATAAGTAGCATTTCAAACAGAGTTGCCACCTATAGTCGTGTGTCATGCAGATGCTAGCCTGTGATGTCCATCTTGTTGAATCCAATAGTGAGCCATATACCAGATGACATTAGAATCTGTGCTGGGTTGAACAGAGTGCCACCAAAATTCATGTCCACCCAGAATCTGTAAATCTGACTTTATTCAGAAATCGGGTCTTTGCAGATGTAATCAAGTTAAGACAAAGTCATACCAGATTAGGAAAGGCCTAATCCAACGACTAGTGTCTTTGGACACAGAGAAATACACAGAAGACATACACAGAGGGAAAAATACCCATGTGAAGATAGAGGCAGAAATAAGAGTGATGCAGCTGTAAGCCAAGGGATACTAAGGATCAGCAGCAACCACCAGAAGCTAGGAAGAGGCCAGAATTCTTCCCCAAGCCTCCAAAGGGAGCATCGCCCTGCTGACACCATAATTTTGGATTTCTAGCCTCCATAATTCTGAGTTAATAAATCCCTGCTGTTTTAAGCCAGCAAGTTTGTGGTAATTTGTTATGGTAGCCCTAGAAAACAAATACAGATTCTAATGTGTATCAAGGAAACTCTTGTAGTAAAAGAGTTTTTACTGTCTAACATCTAAGATTAAACTCAAATAATGTTCTAGCTTCTAGAAGACAATGTTAGGGGTAGCACCAATAACAGGTACAACAGATAACACAAGAGCCTAAACATGACAGGTACCCCTAGAGGTCACCCTCCAGCCATTCCCCCATTCCCACTGAGCCAGTACTATCCAAGAGAATTACCTGAGAATAATTCTAACTGCAAAAACTTACAAAAAAGAAATTTAAAAAACCCAAACAAAAGTTATGCTAAAATTATCAAAAATGTCAAACAAGAAGAAATGCTTCTGTTTCAGTTCAGTCCTATCCCCATGCCTGAATTTTGACAGATTACTAGGATAAAAGAATGAGATACTTATTTTCCATTTGTTTATCAAAAGCAAAATTAGGAAAAAACTTTCCTTTATAATTATAGCGATCTAGTGGTAATCAAATTAAACAAGTGGTCAAATTTAGTACCACTAGCAGGACAACCTGATATTATGTGCCAGCCAATGTGATACACCACGAAGTACACAGTATCATCTATGAAGAATTCTTGCCAAAAATATTTAACCTGAATCTAGTCAGGCCTTTAGACTTGATTTCCACTTTACAGGAAACAGAGGGGATGAAGAAATAACCCAAGGGAAAAAAAATCCAAAATGTTGATTCTGCTCTATCCTGTTCTATTCATTATTCCATGAGATAAATGGCCTGGTCTCTTCAAAAAGTATCATGGAGGAAGAAAGGTGGGAGGACTGCTGTAGATTAAAAAGAAACTAGAGAAACAAAACAACCAAATGCAACCCATAACTTTGATTGGATCAAGGTTGGATCCACCCATAACCTTGTTTGAAAAAAACAGCTTTAAAAGACTATGGGGATAGGGGCTAGCCCGTGGCTCACTTGGGAGAATGTGGTGCTGATGACACCAAGGCCATGAGTTTGATTCCCTATATATGGATGGCCGGTTAGCTCACTTGGGAGAGCGTGGTGCTGACAACACCAAGTCAAGGATTAAGATCCCCTGACCAGTCATCTTTCAAAAAAAAAAAGACTCTGAGGACAACTGGGGAAATTTCAATATGGATTGATTATTAAATAATATTAGGAAACCATTCTCTTAAGTATTATGATTACAAAGAATGCCCTTTAAATCTTCTGACACTAAAAATTGCTGTTCATTAGAGTAAAAGTGAGAGAAAATACAACCATCTATAATTTACTCCAAAGCAGACCATAATCAAATGAGAAACTGGGGCACGCTGTAATGGGGTCTCACTCATCTTTGTATCTGCAAAGCCTAGCATAATGCTAATAATTAGTAGGAGAAGGATTAAGCAAAAAGGAAAATATGTTACTTAGGATTAATGATGCAGAGAGGTATGACTCAAGGACTACGGTTGAACATAATGCCTAATAAGTCTATGTATATTCCCAGGAAGGTAGGCTAGGCTTCTTGAATTCTAAAGGTCAGTATAAGAAATGTTTCAAAAGCAGGGATTACACGTTGACATTACCTCCCTTCAGACAACAAATTTGGGTGGCTGGAAAATGACTGAATATGAAGAATACTTTACCTCAGAAACTTTTAGAAGACCCGCAGAAGCATAGTAGTTTGCTACAATGCAGGCACGAAGTTTATCCATCATCCTTCTTGCTTCAATCAGTCGCTAAAAACAAATGGTAACTTATTATTTTAAAACATGGCAATCCAAAAGAGATATACTCATGATTCAAAAAATAAGTAATACATCATGACAAAAAAAAAAAGAGCTCATCTTTTCTAATAATCAAAGAAAAACGAATAAAAATGACATTTACCACCTATCAGATTGGCAAAGACCTAAAATAGTGACAAAAAAGTGTTGCAAGGTTATACAGATAGATAAATATGCATAAATATGTATATTTATATGTATATTAAGAAATATACACAAAGATATTGAGCACAAGAGCAAAAAGGAATTAAAAAAAAAAAAAGGAATTACCTTTTGGGATGAAATTTCAGATTTTTAAAAATCTTCTCTGCAATTTCACTTTTTAAAAAATAATATTTTCCCTCCATATAAGAAAACTACTTTTAACACAACAGCAATACGGCAAAAGCAAACCATGACTCTATCTCAACATATTTTTTTTCAATAGCTCTGGTGTTTTTTCGAATTTATCATCATTATACCTGGTCAATAACTTCAATTTCATGTTCTTTATTCTTCATTTCAAGAGCAAACTGTTCCTTGATAATAGTCTCAATCTTCTGCACAGCAGCATCTCGAGCTGCACAAAGAACATAAAATACATCCAAGGCGTAATTAACCAGTGGCTGTCTTGATTTAGCCAGCAAGCAACAAAAAGAAACCTAAGAAATAAGTGGAGAAATCTAGTGGATATCACCTCAATCAAGCAATGAAAAAATAAAATCACTAATATTAAAGCAAAGTGAATTCATGTGCTTTCTGATATGATACACTAAGAAGACCACAACATCACTCTGTGGTATTCCTGCCAAAAATGCTGAATCTACTCAGAAGGAAACATCAGACAAACCCAAACTGAAGGACATTCTACAAAATAACTAGCCTGTATTATTCAAATATTAAAGTCAAGAAAGACAAGGAGGGCTGGCTGCTTAGCTCAGTTGGTTAGATCATGGTTTTGATTAACACCAAGGTAAACAGTTTGGGTCCCCTTACGAGCCAGAATCACCCTCACCAAAAAAAAAAAAAAAAAAAAAAAAAAAAAGGAAAGACGGGGGAGATGGAAAGAAAAAAAAAAAAAAAAAGAAAAGGAAAGACGGGGGAGATGGAAAGAAAAAAAAAAAAAAAAAGAAAAGGAAAGACGGGGGAGATGGAAAGAAAAAAAAAAAAAAAAAGAAAAGGAAAGACGGGGGAGATGGAAAGAAAAAAAAAAAAAAAAAAAAAAAAAGACAAGGAAAGACTGAGGAGATTGAAAGAGACTAAAGACATATGACAACTAAATGCCGTGTGTGACCTGAATTAACTCCTGGAGAGAAAAATTAGCTATAAAATAGGATACTAGACAACTGATAAAACTTGAACATGGACCACAGATTCCATAACATAATGTGACAATGTTAAAATTTCATGCTTTTGATAATTGTACTGTGGTTGTATAAGAGAATGTCTTTAGGAAATACACAAAATTGTTTACAGGTGGCCAATTTATTTTCTTCAATGATCTACAAAGAAAAATAATGTGTTTATCTATATGCATGCATGTATGCATGTACATGTACCTGCCCATGAGGGCAGGGAGAAGAATGATAAACGAAATGAGGCAAAATGTAAAAAATTAGTGAGTTACTCTGGATAAGACATGGATGGTCTCTGCAATTTTTCTGTTTAAAATTATTTCAAAATAAAATCCCCCAAAAGAAAAAAAAAATACCCATGAAGATTCTGAGAGAAATATTTGGTTACCTCTGAAAAACCATTGCCCCAAAGAGAAAGAAAGAGTTAGCTGGAGGGAAAGGTAGTCTGTGACACTAGCGTGGTTCATAAGGCAGAAGTTTCATTCTGCAGAGAAGTGCCTAGCAAGCAACTCAGCGGTTTATGATCACAACTTCCAAAAGGAACGAGCAAAAAAAGAATTCAAAAGGAAAGAAAATGCCTCTGAAGGCAATATAATTCAGATGATGACTACTCAAAGCAATATGCAACTCAAAAGAGTTAAAAATATCAAAATATGGAATATGACTTGATACGAGAACAAAAGAAAAAACAACCAAAGATTTTGCAAAAATAATCCTATGTTTATAATATGAAAAAACAGCACTCATGCTTTGGAGTATATGAGAAATTACAGAGAATATTATGGCCCTTTGACAATGCCTGTGTCATTTTCTCCCCATAAAATATGCCATTAGATTGGCCATTTAAAATCAGTAATGATGACTTCCGGTCAAGATGGTGGAATAAACGGTCCCCAGCATCCCTCCCACAAATCAACCAATTTACAACTATGAAAATGTAACATCAGCCAACCTGGGGCCGCTGGAGCTTAGGGGAAGAGGAGGAGAGACCTATGGAACTCATGAAGGTGGAAGAAACCATGATGAGAGAAAGAAAAAACTGCTCTCAGTGTTTTGGGCTGCAGCTGCTTTAATGCTGGAGCACATGGAGCAGGAGCTGGCAGAAGCCGCAGCTGTGCCCTTTAGATGGAGTTACTTGGAGGCGAAAGGGGAGAAGAGGACTTTGGTGGCACCCAGGACAGCAAGACCACTAATAGGGTTCCCGTGGACGCACACAGGAGTGAGGAGCCAGAACAGCTGAAAAAGGGGAGCCATTCAGAGGTCGGTGAGTCATCGCAAAGGACCAGCACAGGGCCTTTCCCATGGGAAGTGTTGGGAGCACGGGTGGTGGGGGAGATGGGCCCATCAGGGGAACACTGGGACAAAGCAAGGACAGCCGATCCACCCCCAATCAGTACAGGACCACTCAGAGGAGACTAGTCGGGAATGCAGAATTGCATGGGGTGCAGTTCAATGAAAAAACTCAGGCCCAGATCAGAGTTTCTACACAACCCAGGTGCACCGAGTATCTGGAGAGCCGGAAGTACCTATAAGGTCAACCATTAAATACTGAGCTGCACAAAAAGCCTTCCCTAGGGAAACAGCAGCAAAGCAGCAATTTACCTCAACCACACAGCTAAAGCACTGGTTCCCACAAGAAGCTCCCCCGGTTAGAAGCAAGCAAAGGACAAAAATTTAGTTCCAGCCCAGGCACACCACAAATGCCTTGGGGCCCACCAGGGGACATGAGGTATGGAGCCAGGGGCAGGACCCTCACCCACAACCGCTCACACTGCCAGCACCTCTGGGACTGGACCTGTTTCCTACAAGCAGGCACACCATGACAGCACATCAGGGCCCTGCCCTGGGGCCGGGGCATGGAGAAGGGGACTGAACCTCCCTTCCATATCCAGGCACACAGTGCCAGCACCTTGGACCCCATGCTGGGACCTGGGGCATGGAGAAGGGGACCGGACCCACCTACCACAACCAAGCACCCCATGCCAGCACCTCAGGGCCTTCCCTGGGACCTGGGGCGTGGAGAAGGGGACCAAACCTCCCTCCCACAACCAGGCACACCTCACCAGCACCTTGGGTCCTGCCTAGGGACCTGAGGAATGGAGAAGGGGACTGGACCCCCCCACCAACAACCAGGCACACCGCACCACTGCCTCAGGGCTCACGCTGGGACCCAGGGCATGGAGAAGGGGACCAGACCCACCTCCCACAACCAGGCACACTGCACCAGCACCTTGGGGCCCACTCAGGCACACTGCGCCAGCACCTTGGGGCCCACTCTGGGACGTGGGGTATGGATCTGGGGACCGGACCCTCTCACAACCGGGCACACCTTGCCAGCACCTTGGGGCCTGCCTGGAGATCTGGATCAAGGAGGAGGGGACTGGACCTCCCTCCCTCTACCAGGCACACCATGCCAGTGCCTCGGGACCCACTCGGGGTCCCAGGGCAGGGAACCAGGGATCGTACACTCTCCACAACCAGGCACACTGCCAGTACCACAGAGCAGATCAAAAACATCTCCTCCATGTGGGTGGCCCACCACAGCCACCATGACAACCATGGCTACCGTGAAGGTGGCTGATGCCACAACCACCACGCAGATGGTCCACCAGCCACTGGAGTGAGTTGACACAAGGAGGGTCACCAGCAGAGATAAAGAAAGGAAGAGGATGTCTGTCTCCACAGAGCCCATTTCATAGTGACTGAAGATACATCTGCTGTATGATAGTATTGGGGGACCTGATCACACCTCTCAGTATTGGACAGATCATCTGGGAGTAATCAACGGAGTAATCATTATTCTTTCAGAAGGAGAGAAGAAATCTATGGTGATTAGAGGGAGAGAGGGGGAGTAAAAGGGGGATGGGGAAGGATTGGACAAGGGGCACAAAGAATAACCATTTGTAACAATATATATGCTAGTAATATTGATTTGATCAACATATCTCAATGTTCAACCCCAAAATATGTATAATCAATTGTGATTCAATAAAAATTAAAAACAAACAAAAAAAATAAAATTAATGATACAAGCATTCTTGTGGATATGTCTGTATAGAGGCAAATGACTGATATTTCTCATAGTTAAGGAAAAGAATATTTCCTAGTAATACTAGTTTATACATACACACACACACACACACACACACACACACACACACACACACACACACACAAAAGGCATATATAAATCTTATGTATATCAAGCAGATACTTTTAGTAAGTGCTGATAGACACCACAATCACTGAGGACTATTTTATCATAAACTCCTCAGAAAGAAACACTTTTAAATTCCCTTTTTTGTGGAACAAGTAAAAACAGACATAAAACACAAAACAAAATACATTTTAAAAATATATTGCTTATAATATAAGCAAAGGGAAGCATCCCACCAAATCTACTTTGAGAAAAATTCTGGGAAAAAAAAGATTAGGATTAGGTAGAGTATGGACACCAAGAAAAAGAATAGCAAAATGCCACTCAATAACAAACAAATTGCCCCTGCCTGAATGGGGGTTCTTCGGAACGTACATTAAATTTAAAGTTACAGTGTTACTAAAACAATAAATTTTCCATATTCTTCTTTTTATTTAAAAAATTTAAAAAGTTATACCATGTGAAGCTTTAGAGAAATGGGTTTAAATTACATGATACTTTCACATTTATTTGGCTTGTTATTGAAAGAAAACGACATTTCCTCATTAATAAAATTACAACTGAATGAAGGGGGGAAGTTGCAGTGAAATGTTTTCATAATTTGGGATAAGATTTGATCATTTTCCTTCCACATAGACATTTGGGAGGTCTAGATGACTTGATGGCTCTTACAGAGACATGACTTTTCTTCATCACTTAAACTCTAGAGATCCTAATCTTTGTGGAGCTGCAACGTTTTAGCTATGGCTTTAATGCCTTCTTTACTCTGCTAAAAGTATTAACTTATGCAGATAAAATAATTAATACATTTCAGTGATAACTTGTTTTAAAATGCAAATTTAGCAATTTTTTTAGATTGCATAATATGTTCTGTGTAACTGTGTACACATAGTTGATGATTTGCTCTGCAACTAATTACATGATGTTGGGCAAGTAATTTAATGCCTCTGAACCTTAATTTACCCACCATCAGCTAAGTGCAAGGGTTGAACTAGATCAATGTTTCCCAAATTTCCATCATTCATATACCACCTTCAAGATATCTAACACAATTGAGAACCATGGGAAACATTTAACACAATTAAATAATATTTTAAAATAATTTTAGCTTTACCCTAAGCAATAATAGCCATGAAACTACAAGTTTGATGAGATCATTCTTTCTTCTATACACATTAAAATAACATGTAACTATTAAAATAAAAACCTTAATCCATGTACTACCTATAATCATTTCACATTATGCCACATTGTAGTACACGTAGAATTTATGATTATACCTAACACATAATGATAGCTAAAACTCGTAGTCTTTCTCATTATTGATGCTTTCACTGTCTACCTAACCATGTTCCTGCCAGATCTTCTTCCACCTCTTTATGTCATTATACTACTAAACACTTCAAATTATACACAACAGTGGAAACTCATTTCATTTTAGCTCGCATAAATCTTAAAGTGGAGGCATATGTGAACAAAGAAACAAATCATTTTCTAAGGCAGGTCAATTTCTACCTGAATTCTCAATTGCTTTATGCCGTTTATTTGGAAGGGCCACAGATACATCCTCGTAATCAGGGTCAGTTTCTTTGATTGTTCGCTTGATTCCAGACATGATGACATTCAGTTCTTCACTGTGAAGCAATAATAAATTAATTAACAAATAACTCTGCATGATACTAGTCCTTATAAATATATGTATACACAAATACAAAGGGAATAAATAAATATTACGTAATAGCAGTACTTGTAAATCTGTGTGTATATATGTACATATCCCTTTTAAAGTCAAAAGCATAAGTTAAACTTCCAAAGTTTAAAAAAATTCATCATCACAGTCATCTGTTAAAAAAGCATGGGTTTTCCTTTTTTTTTTTTTTTTTTTTTTTGTCTTTTTTCGTGTCCGGCAACGGATCGCAACCCTCGGTGTTGCGCCCGCACCTCGCTCAGCCAGTGAGCAGAACCGGTCTGTACGTGGGATCCGAACCCTCGGCGGGAGCGCCGCTGTGCTCCCAAGCGGCGCACTGTAGCAGTGCGCCACCGGGCCGGCCCATGGGTTTTCCTTTTAAGAGAAAAATCCTTTAACAAGATACTTGAAAAAGTTCATGGAAAGATTCATATTATCCTTGAATTTTATTTTTCCACAAACTCTTTGAAGCATCCTCTTAGCACATTTTTTAGACTTTTCCAATGAAGCCTGGCTTTCATACAAAGGTCCTAAAAAGGAAAGGAAAGAAAGCAAACTTTGATAAAAACGCAGTGGGCCCACACAGTGTCTTGGGATTCACAATGCACTAAGCATATTACAAAACAGTTAAGTTAGGGGCGTATAAGATCATTTACTATACAAATCATGTCTCTGGTACTTTACACAGTGCCTGCTACATAGTAGGTACTCAATAAATGATATTATTGTTACTGATATTATTACTCATAATAAATACAAACTGCACCAACTTCATTAAACTAAGTAACAAGTTTGCAATATGGTAAACAAGTCATAAGTATATAAGTCTTTGAATAAAACAATCTCAAAAATCCTCTAGATCTGCACTATCCCAACATATTAGCCATATGTGGCTATTTAAAGTTAAATTAACTAAAATGAAATACAACTTAAAATTAGTTATTTTTTTCTATATTTCAATTTTCCACATTTTATAACAAGTCACATTTCAAGTGCTCAAACAGCCACCAGTGGCTAGTAGCTACTACATTGGACAGTGCAAATATAGAATATTTATATCACTGCAAAAAGTTCTATTGGATAGCACTCCTCCTTCCAAACTGTTTCACTGAGCACTTATTAATATTTCATGAGTCAGTTTAGGAAATACAGCACTGTCTAGAACAGCACTATCCAATGGAAATAAAACATGAGCCACATACGGAATTTAAAATTTTCTAGCAGCCACGTTTATAATTGTAAAGAGAAATGGGTGAAATTAATTTAATAAAATATTTTGTCGATCCAATATATCCAAAATATTATTATCCTAACTTGTAATTAATATAAACAATCTAGCAATTAGGGTTTACATTCTTGTATTTTTTACTAAGTCTTTAAAATCTGCACATCTTGAGACTAGCCACATTTCAAAGGTTCACTTACCACCTGCAGCAGTTTCCCTTATTGGGTAATGTGGATCACTGATTTACAGATAAGAAAACAGGTCCAGATGTTTCCCCTTACAGTGTTAATCTATGACACAGAAGAGACCAGAACAGCTCCCTGATTTCCAAACCTCTGCTCTACCACTAAAGGATATTATTTACATAACCAAAAGCAGAAATACACAACATGCCTTTACTGAGGTAATAAAATGTTTTAAAATAGAATTAATAAAAATAAAATGTTGACTCAAAGTTATTTCTGTTTATCTTGTTCTAACTTCGTATTCAATGTTAAAACAGACATACAAAGTAAAAATGCCTCAGCTCTTAGTTCTTTTCGTTCACTCATCTCAGAGATAAACTCACTTGATTCAGCCGGGAGAAAGACTCACTATGTAATGATAAATACGTAAATCCTGGATCTGAGACAACATTTTTTCCTTACTGTTATCGTGCGTAATATCACTAAGCTTAACAATATTCTAAAACCCCCTACCATTTATAAGCATCCTGAATCACACTATTTAATGTTTGTAATCATTAGTTACCTGCTACCATTTAAGATATAAATGAGTCTTTACTTTAAGAGAGGCCCAGAATCCAACTATTATTTTGTTTTTAAAGCTTATAAAAAGTAAGAGTAAAGTCTGTTTCTTCAGCCTTCTCCATTTGGTCTGCAATTAGTTTTAGAAAATCTGAGAAAATCTTGAGCAGTTATTCAAGGAACATATTCTTAGAAATCAATAAACCTCATTTCTTCTTCCTTGATGCAGATAGGAATAAAAAAAAATCTCCTATTTGCAAATAAAAATAGAATCAGAGGTAAGATACTTCTCAGCAGAGCTCCAATTCTGTCCTCACACCATACCATTTCCTCAGTGGCCACCCATCTTCTACAGTTTGCCAAGTGTCTCATGAGGAGGGTATGTGTAAAGATGAGTCCACATCCAGCACCATCTTCACTTCTCCATCCTATGGACTTCATAATCTGTATATTCTTCTCCCACCTCCCAAGTGATCTTAAGAATAACAGTGGCCACTCCCCTGGAAGGCTGAGGATCCTTGAAAAAACTAGTATTTTGCTTTATCCTCACATAAGGGATAAAGCAAAACTCTCTTTCAACTTTTGCTCTAAAACTGGGTGACCAGAAGGGGAAAAGAAAGAAAGAATTTGGTGTGGAGAGGGAGGTAAGCAGGAAACCACCAGTAAGTTAACTTGTGCTGCCAAGGTAATTTGTTTTTCATGCAGCCCTTGGAAAGAGCTTTTCCTGTCATCTTTGGGCATATATTTGAGCTTCCAATAAACGTGTTTAGGAAGATTTAGCTCTGTACCAAGCATTTTTTAATAATTCAGTTCTGCTTCTGTCTAGAAAGAACAACACTAAAGTATACACATGCCACATTCAAGCAAATGCTACCTAAGGCTAGGCCCGTCTGCTGGGACATACTCTCCTCATGACGCAATAAATAAGTGAATGTAATGTATAACTAATGACCCATGATAATATTAAGTTTTGGACTCTTCTTGTGTGACTTAGATTTATGCCACATTCAAGCAAATGCTACCTAAGGCTAGGCCCGTCTGCTGGGACATACTCTCCTCATGACGCAATAAATAAGTGAATGGAATGTATAACTAATGACCCATGATAATATTAAGTTTTGGACTCTTCTTGTGTGACTTAGATTTACGAAAAGGAAATGAGAGTTGTTAGAAACTGTCAATTCAACTTTGAAACATAATGTCCTACAAATCCTCTTCAGGTTTTAAATCAGTTGAAATTGAAAGAATACTGAGATGGTAATGAGAACTGTTTTAAAAAAAATCTGTTACCATTTACGATATATCTGTGAGAAAAGGTATTTTCCCATACTATGGGACCAACACCAAATACAAAAATAAATGTAATGCTGGGACTAAAATAAAACTGTCATCCATTCATCCAATTTAAAAATTTTGTTTTATTTTTTTTAATTGAAGCATAATTGTTAAGTGTTGACTATCAGTATTTATGTACAGTATGTGATGATCTAATTTAAAATTTTTATCCCATCAAAACAGCCTCATTATAAAAAGTAAATGCTCAAATTTAAACTTAGGGTGCCGGCCCGTGGCTCACTTGGGAGAGTGTGGTGCTAACACTAAGGCTATGGGTTCAGATCCCTGTATAGGGGTGGCCGGTTAGCTCACTTGAGAGAGCATGGTGCTGACAACACTCAGTCAAGGGTTAAGATCCTCTTACCAGTCATCTTTAAAAAAAAAAAAAAAAAAAAAATTAGAAAATACGTGTCTTAACTTCCCTGAAAAAGAAAAATTTCAAAAAAAAAAAAAACCTTAGAAAATAAATGTTTTTTTTTCCCATAAACAGTATGAGAAAAGAAAATTTTAGAGAAGTATATGCCACCGATTTAAACTTATACATGTTCAATAACACAAGCAAGTCTGAGTTTTTGACAAAGACAAAAAACAAGATCTTTTAATGTTCTGTATTTTGCAATAAGCCTTAAGAGAAAAATAATTTGAAAAAGAAAATTGCTTAATTAAAAACATAAAAATTATTTAACATAGAGTCACTTGAAATGCTTATTAAAAGGTCTTAGTTCTCATGCCAGGGAAGACCTAGAACGCCATCCTAGAATCCTAAGTTCCACGTTTGCAAACACCACATCATGTAAGATGTGGCCAATTCTTGAGGAGGAAGGAGTAAAAACTAATAAATAAGGCCCTTGAAAGATGTGCCATATACTGCAAGAGATACCGTCTCGATAATTTGATGATCCTCACAGCATGTGAATCTCAGAAACACTGCAGTATGTGCTCTCACTCAAGACTTTTCCCATCTGGTTCAAAAGTGGGGAGGAGGGTGGCATAATCATTTTCCATCTGCTTCACTACAGACAGACATTCCTAAGATGCTGGTAGTAATTGTATAGTTCTTTAGCCCTATCCTTCCTAAATTCTTCACTTCAAACAAAATATTTTCCCCTTTGTAAACAACTAGTGTTCCTTTATTAAATATCTGAATGAGTGAATCTATAATCCATTCTCCTTTTGCCAAAAAGACATTTCAAAAATGTTTACAAAAACTGAAACAGGAAAATGGACAAATTGTGGTATACCCAATAAATGCCTAATCCAAGCACCAACAGGCACAAATCTCAAAATCATATGGTAAGCAAAAGAAGCCAGACACAGAGTACATACTGAATGATTCCAGTTATATAAAGTTCTCAAAAAAATTAATCTATAATGAAAGAAATGAGAATAATAGTTGGGGGCGCTGGTGGTGGAAATTGATCAGGAGGAGGAATGAAGAATTTCTTTCTGGGGTGAAAGAAATATTTTATATCTTAATTAGCGTTTAGGTTGTATGGGTATATGCAATCATGAAAACTCATCCAACTGTGTACTTGAATTCTGTGCATTTCACTATATGTGAACTATACTTCAATTTAGAAAAGGACTACAAAAATATTTTTCTGATCATGTCATACCCTGCTTGAAACCTTCTCATGGCTT